ATATTAGTTGAGAATGTGTAGAATTACTAGTTTACTAGCTACTAAAAAAACTTAAATTGAAATCATTCAAAAATGTGTACGTTTTCAATAATTCAATGTATTTAAAAATACAGTTATTTATATTTTAATATTATATCATGCATATTATTTTACAAACAAATCTAAATTAACATATATCAAACATATTTTTTGCTGAGATTTGATGATGTGACAATTTTGCGTTGTGATTACGCAATGACGTCATTGAGCAATGACATCACAACGTCATTTAGCAACTTTTAGCAACAAATCGACCATGCCCAGCCCTAACTCAACGTCTTTCCTCTGGGGTTCTGAGCCACAGTACACCACTCAGTTTAGCAGATTGCAATGTGATGAAATGTTACCAGCTAAATATTGTATATTTACATGTATACATGCACTAGAAAGCAAATGTGTAAGAAAAGCACAAACAAATGTACGTAGAACAACACACACGTACTGAGTATTCACACACACACTCACACGAACACACACACTGCTCCACAAGAAAAACCTCTCACCCTCTTGTCTTTGATCTCTCATTATGAGCAGTTTGGACAAACACTAAGATGGCACATCTCATGCTGCTTAGCTAATCCCTCACACACACGCGCGCACACACAGTGTTTTCAAACACTATAATTGCAGATTTAACCCTTAAACATGCACTTTAGCTCTAGCCTACATAATGGGTGGGCCTGAAAGACGGTATGAAATAATATATTTATATATTTCAGCCATCTTAATGAAGGGTGCACAGCTAGGGAACAAATAATGGACAATAATATAATTTTTTTTATCATAGTAATTATTAACAAATTAATGAAGATCCTAATCACATTCATAATGTGCTCTTTTGAAATCAATATCTTGCACTTTTTTAATAATAAAATGAATTGCTTTCATCAAAACATTCTTCCTACTCTTAAATTCCTTTTCTTTTCTTTTTCTGCTGATGTAGGTAAGGCTGCAAAGGAGGGAAGCAGTGCCCCACATGATTTTAAGCCACATATTCTGTTTCATTAAGAAATATGTCATAATAACGCAAGTTAAATGAGTTGTGAATGCCGTTTCATGTTGTTTTTCCAATACTTCACGCTACTCTGCTCAGTTAACGTTCATCAACAGCATACTGTAATATGCAAAACCCCAGAAACCCAAATCTGTTAATTGTACTCTGAGAGCCGGAGCTCTGTGTGACAGAATGAATAATCCATGAAGGAAGCAAGAGAGAGGGTGAGAAAGCTGGAGAGAGAGTGAGAGAGTGTTTGGAAGGATGGAATTGTTGGCTGGAAATGATCTGTACAAGAATCATTCTAGAAACGTTAATGTCAAAATGTCACAATCGTTACTGACTGGCACAATGAGCACAGCCACAAATAGCTAAAATGTATCTATATTTCACAGCATGTGTAGGTGTGTTTTTGTCATGAGATGTGTGATATGGAATGCCAAAAACTGATTCAAGCCGCAAAAGAAAAATTACACATAACATAGTAACTTAGTACTAAATTGTGGGCTTTCTGAAAGCTCTAACAGAAATCACATAAATAAAAATAATGTTTTCACATAAGGCATAAAAGGAAAAATGGATAAAACAAAAATCGGAGAAACTGATTTTAAGAGATGAGCAGATGAGCGGTCTTCACTGGAGAAGTGATATACAGTATCTCTCCCTTTGTAATTGTAGGACTTTAATCTGTTATCAGAGAGGTAGAAGAACACCATATTTTTAGATTTTACAAAGATTTTTTCTTTCTGAAAAGATCTGTTATGCGGCTGGAGAAAGCTCAGTGAGCTAAATGGGAATTTATCATTGTAGCATTAGTGTCATTACAACATTTAGCACAAAAAAAATCAAATGTGGTTGTGATGGGATAAATAAAATGACTATAAACATTAAATTACTGTTTGGAGAAAATTACAACATTTCCGTTCAAAAATATTTATAACTCTGAGAAGAAAAGTCTGAACTTTGAGATATAAACTTGCAATTGTGAGAATTTTTTTTTTTTAATTCCATGCTGGAAATAAGAATTGTGTGATATACACTCAGATTTGTAAGATGTAAACTCGGAATTACATAAAAAAAAAAAAAAATTTAAATAAAGAATGTCACACTTTTTTCCTCAGAACTGCCAGTTTATATCTCGCAATTCTGAGTTTATTTCTCATAATTCTGGCTTTATATCTTGCAATTCTGAGAAAAAAAGGACATTTTCAGAATTGTGAGATAAAAAGGTCACAATTAACTTTATATTTTTTTAATCCTGTGGCAGAAACGGGCTTCCATAATAAACCGATTTTCAATGTCAAATGGTATAAATGTCAACATCCACAGCCACATGGTAGAAAATGTCCATTACAATCAGTCCACAAATATACTCTGATAAGCTCCTCCTCCTTGGTTATTGTTGCTAACCTGTCAAACATTCCTAGCAATTGCATACGGTCACCAAAAAAGGCTACAATATAACTACCTTCTTGACCTGTTCAAATGAAAAACAAAATCAGAAATGTAATTTTTTTCACAGGAATATATAAATCACCTTCACAAAAAATGTTTATCATTAATGATAACACCTCAAATACTAATATGAAGTTAATACGACACCGAAAAAATATTTCCAAACCAATAGTTGTTTGTATAAACCTTGAAGGCTTCTTATGTTCATTGGAGGCACAGAGGATGTCTTCTGTGATTTTGTAGACTCTAGTTGCATAGACAAGGGACAGGCCCTTCAAACACGATGCAGTGTTGCTTCCACGTAACATAATCCTGTGGGACAGGCGTTTGTGTGTGCTGAAACAACTGTGGCAAAAAAAGAAAAACTAGCCAGACACACTGCATGGACTCTGTCGCCCACTTTGAGATCAACCAATCAATCAATAAATGACCAGCCTATGGACCGTCCAATCACCATCCAGAACCAACTAATCAATCCGCCTACATACTGAACAATGAGAGGTCACTGCATGCTATGATGCCCACAGACTGCGATTGTGGACCGAATCACTGCATTTAAATCAATTTGACACACCAAAGGCATGTGAGGCATTATAATCGAAGCGATACATGCTTGTTTGAACATTTTGCAGAGAACACAGGCAGAAAAAATTAGGAGCAGAAGTGGTTTTGTTGTAATAGGATTGGGGTGCAGAAAGCTGAGAAGAGAGGTCTGCATAGCAGCAAACTTCACTGGGTCACCAGCCCTTCTACTGCAGACGTGGCACACCGCCACCACAATAAAACATTTACAATCCCTGAGTGCAGCCAGCACACACATAGCATCAAATACAAATATGTCCACATCCATATTAACACAGTACAAAGGGAAAAGGCTTGGATGTTTTACAATAGTTCAATATAAATTCATGTTTTCATTCCATTTAATGTTAACATTCAGAATTAAACTGAGAACATTTTTTAAAGGTAAATCCTGAATTTGAGTTGAATTTTAATTGACATAGCAAACAGGATGCGGAATTGCCTCAAAAATCTGAACGTAAGGGAGTAGAATTGAGTATGAAAGTAGAATTGTTTCAATTCAGAGAAATTCATTCAAAATGCAATTTTCATAGACAAATAGATGGACAGATAGATAGACGGAAAGATGATAGACAGACAGACAGACAGATAGAATTTATGCTTTCAAACCTAGAGTCTTTTAAAATGTAAATGAGCTCTTTGACATGCATGACTGCCAAGTGAAGTGATGACACTATTTCCAAAGGTGCGATAAGCCACATATTCATCCATATGTAAATATGTGTATATTAGCTGCTCTTCCTGAGTAAAGAAACAGCCTGCTGAGCACAGTAGAGCTTACAGTTTCCTTTAAGTACCACACTAGACTGTAGTACACTAGACTCACTGAATAAAAAAAAAAAAATAATAATAATAATAAAAATTTTTTTAAATGAAAATAAAATAAATGCATTGTGAATTAATGTTGGGCGATATGGTCATTTTTCAAATCGTCATATCGCCAGCCCGTGAGATCGCCGATACACAATATTATTAAGGGTGGGTGGGGGCAAGAGAGAGACGCTCTGTACTTGTCATAGGCTATTTCATAACTATGTGGTGTTTTAAACTGCCCAGGCATGCGAGAAAGAGCTTATAGAAGCACCAATAATCCAAATAATATACTTTCAAACATACTGATAAACTAACATGTTAAATATAAAAATATTTAAAACAGCAAGTTCATATATATTCGGATACAACACTCATACATCGCTATTAGAACCGCGCGTCCTGTGACAAGTTTGCCGCATCGGCGCAAGGAAGTTATCAGTATAAAAAGTCTGCAAAATCAGTCAAAGGAGAAAATCAAAAGTAGATTTATAAGACCAACAGTTTAACACTAGATATTGGACATAAACAAACACATTAAATATAAAAGCATTTAAAACAGGTAAGTTCATAAATTTGGAGTAAAGTTAAATTGAACGGATACATCAGTCATATACAGTGCTCTGGACCACGTGCCCCATGACGAGTCCGACGCGCCGCCACAGAGACAAGAATGAGATGCTTTCTAACATAACTGTGGCATTAAACTCAGTTAGTGAGGGCTCAGTTAAAATATTGCACATATATAGGCCGTTCCGATTACTTGTTAAAGTGCAATGAAATACCTTATATCAGCAGACGATGTACGTCTGTGTTTGTGGTTGGACATTCCTTCACCGGCTACAGGCTCTAATCCTCATTTGCGTGTGTGTGTATGTGTGTGTGTGTGTGTGTGTGTGTAAGTGCGGTGCTGAAGTAAAATAGCGGGGCAATTTGATAATAATAACTGAATTATAATAGGCCGCCTAATAATAATAATAATTTAATACATTAATAGGAGAATGAGCCTAATATCGTCTTGACTATCGACAAAGACATCTGCTATCGTCAATATCTCTGACTATTGTCGATACACGATACTATCGTCTATCGGCACAACCCTATTGTGAATGGTTCATACCTTTTCGTAAGGATCAGAGTCATAGTTGAGGCCTATGCCACAATCATCTGTGATTTCAGACAAATCTTCATCATCAAACTCCTCCAGACTGATGTCATGAGCCGGCCTGCAAACAGAAACACAAATAATGAATACAAAATTCTCCCATTATTTGAAATACTCATAAATAAAATCATGATTTTCTTTAAATGTACTGAAATCAGCAGGGTTGTGTGAGGGTTAGAAAATATCATCACCTCTGTATACAAACCATAGCATCTATGAGATGTGCTGGCTAATATGTGTGTGTGTGTGTGTGTGTGTGTGTGTGTGTGTGTGTGTGTGTGTGACCCTGTGGAAGTCTGATCTGAAATATGAGCTGCTAAGACATCCCTGTTGAAAAAAACAGCATATGCTGGTTAGGTATGTTTTGACGCCGGGATGCTGGTTTAAGCTGGTCCTTTGCTGGTTTATGCTGGTCCTTTGCTGGTTTAAGCTGGTCCTTTGCTGGTTTAAGCTGGTCCTTTGCTGGTTTATGCTGGTCCTTTGCTGGTTTAAGCTGGTCCTTTGCTGGTCCTTTGCTGGTTTAAGCTGGTTTAAGCTTGTCCTTTGCTGGTTTATGCTGGGCCTTTGCTGGTTTAAGCTGGTCCTTTGCTGGTTTAAGCTGGTCCTTTGCTGGTTTAAGCTGGTCCTTTGCTGGTTTAAGCTGGTCCTTTGCTGGTTTAAG